AAAAAAAAAAAAAGCACAGAATGTTTAAAAATAAGAAATAAATTAGACAAATGTTAGCAGGTTTTTAGACAGTAGCACTAAAATTCAGTGAGCTGCAACATCATTTTGTTCCAAGTTTTGTCATGAGGACCGCTGACAGCTGAATTATGAAGAAATCATAAACAGACAGCCATCCCCTCCATCTTACAGTCTTTATTATTACAGGAGCAAGAGCTCCAGTGGTTATTCTTTATGTTAATGCTGACAGGTTTAGTTCCTCAGGAAACATGAAACCAGTAAGACCTTTGGGGACTGACTGAAGTGCAGAACTGTTCGGATAACTGAAGGTTGAGATTTAGACTCAAGTGGAACTTAAAGCAAAACTAAAAAAGAGATTGGTTTCTATTATTTCATTAAGAGCATTCATGTGATTTATTTCAGCATATTTATGCATCTCTGTCATCCATGTTTAAATCTATTTTCCTTCATGTGAGCAGATCATTTCATACCTGTGATAATAATAACATCATATTTTGACATAAAGGCTTCGCTTTTTGCTAATTAGTTTTTCTGTTACTGCAGGAGATGAAAACTATAAAAAGTTGATGAACAACAGGAACTTCAGTAGCTTTTCCAGCAATTAAAAGTAGTTTTAATAAAATTTCAGCTCCTGTAAAATCGTTCTCAATGGTTAAAAAGCATGATAAGGGCTCCAGCAGATACAGTGACGCAGTTTGTGTTCATACAGAATGAAAGAAGAGCAGCTTGGATGCATCTTAACGTGGAGAAAACCTGTAATTTCACTAAAGAGAATGTTTCAGTGCATCACTGCGCCTGGTTTCGTGCATTGCTGCAGGAGCTCATGTTCTGTGTGTTTCATCCCATAAAACCTGTTTTTGTCGTCTTTTCTTCTGATTATTATCCCACATCTCCCCTCCCTCATTGGTGAAAACTTTTTTCATTTCCCAGTTTTAAAACCATGAGGCTCCGGCTGACAGCTCAGTCTGAGTGGATGGAGAGCGTGACTTTGAGGCAGCCCAGCTCTTTGCCCTGACTGCCGAGGACCCCCTGAACCCGGTAGTCCCCGTTAGTCAGCCAGTAGGGCAGATCGATGTTGGGCAGGTAGAAGATTGACTGTGGCAACGTGTATGAGCCCTGAGAACAGAGAGGGAGAGTCATGCTGTTTCATCATGTTTAAAGGTCACATAGCTCAGGGTTCATGTTTCATCCCTAAATGGTTTTCTACA